CTTTCCAACGCAATGAAACAAAACGAACACGTCCTTTTCTTTATTGATGCACATAGTATTTGCGCCAGAATTTCTGCCAGCTTTTGATTTCTCTCTATCATTGGCTAGCCAATACAGTACTTCGAATTCGATCGATCAGCTTCACCTTCTCGCCCCCACTCGATCAGTCTAATAATTATATAGATTTAGCCAGGGCTAAAAGCAAAGCTCTAGTTAAAAGAACCTGAAGTAAGAGAAAACGTCTTCTCCCTGCAAGGCTTCTAGCCTCCAACGAAGAAGTTCACGTGACGGTGCCTAAGAACGTTAGACTTTCTCAAAGTCTTTCGCTTCTCATTTCCGGTTTCGGTAGTTCGCTCGCTTTTGCTTTGCCGCAGAAAACATAAAAAATCGATTTTTACAAAGTTTATCAAAATGTGGGTTGCTTTTTAATAAACCTGGCACGGAGGAAGAGGGAGTACCCTCGAAACGCCTGGTTTTTTCGTGCCCTTTCAACGCACATTTTGATAAACTTTGTACAAATCATCGAACTTTTGCGTTGACGAGTAGGCAAAGGCATGAGAAATTACAGTGTTTGTATGAGTGAATGAGAATCTAATGTCAAATAATTTCCGTAAAACGGCTGTTCTAAAAAACGTATCAATATCAAAAAAAATATGGGTCGTACCTGTGCTTAAATTTCCCCAAAGGCTTGCATTAGATTTTCCATATATATGTCGTTAATTTTTCCCGGGACTTTCTTACAGACAAATGTATAGAAAATTTTAAAAAGTGGTTCTAGGTCTTCTAGCGCATGTAACGCCCTCATTTTTTTTCAGCAGAATCCTTAGGAGTGAAGCTTTAGTTTATAATTGATATTTTTTTAGAACAGCCGTTCTAAGGAAATTATTCGACATTAGATTCTCATACAAACACTGTAATTTGTTACACGTTTGCCTACTCGTCAAGGTGGCGTCGAAAACCGTGACAAGGTCTATTTTTTATAACATGCAGGCTAGCCCCCACCTCCCAACCACGCCTCTATTGGTCCGTCACACAATTCTCCTTTATGGGGAAGGAACGCGTGACGAAGACCTTCTTTTATTTCCCGCAGGGATTGCTGGGACATTCCCCCTGCATTGAGGAATAAGTATATGCTGATTCATGAAGATGCCGACGCGATTCAAGTTTTCTAGGTTTTAACCCGGGGGATTTTTTCGTTTCTGGTTGAAACGCGTGGCAACAAGGTGGGTTTGCATCTTTTTATCGGAATAATTGCGTATTGTGCGTTTTAGATGGGTAATTTCATGATTTTACTTTAGCTCACTTCCGCTTTCGAAACGTGTTCATCATTTTCTCTCCGATCCTCTGTCTTTGATGGTCCTAGGTATGGATCAGCATTGATTTGATGCAATTTTAACGATCGCTGTTCTCCTTAGAAAAGAACTCGGCCTCTGAGGAAGATTTGAAGACTTTGAAAGACTATATAGGGCTACAGTCAGGAACGGGTAAGATTTC